TCGAAAATTAAAGATATATTTGGACTATAATGTTTGTACAATTACAACATATCAACCGATCTTCACCACGATACGGATATTTTGGTTTGACTTCAAAATACCAGAATGCCTGGTGTTTCGAAATAAACTGATATTCTTTGCTGTGCAACTGTTATAGAATCACAATTTATTAACGGATTCAATCAGAATAAGTTTTTGAAATTTGGTTTTTGATACAAGTTAAAACGACTATTTTACTTGTTTTAAAATCATATTATACTCTGTAGTCTCACTCAAAGTAGCTGTTGTCTTACTGTTTATTTTATTATGAAAACATTGTATGTTCAGGCATCTTAACCAAAATAATAAAACGCTTGATGCTTTATACATTCGCTTCTTGTGACATTGCATTATGTACAACCAGCGGTCCTAGTTTAAATAACGATATTTTCGAGTTTCTAGCTGATTGTGAAATCAACTTTTACACCGAGCTGTTCTAACCAAATTCTGATATTTTTGCTCCTAGGAATTCAGCTGATTGTGAAATCAAACTATATGCCTAGCGGTTCCATCCAAAACAGCAACGTTCTTATTTCAAGTTTTGAGCTAGTTGTAAAATTAAATTTTACAGCAAACGCTTCCAGCAAGGGTTATATTCTTGCTCCGAGCTGATTACAAAATCAAACTATATGCCTTATGTTCATTATACTTGTCTTAAAGCCCTATAAGAATGTTAGACCTATTATACTTCTTAACATTACATTCTTTATTTAGTCTTTAGGGTCTTTGAAGAAGAAGAATAGTGTATAATAGTATTTTAACTACACAAAACTCGTCATATTCAGTGCCAACTACGCGTTTTGTTCACTATAGAGCTCATCAGGCCTAACGGTTCTAGCCAATATAGCGATATTGTAATTCCTAGTATTTAGCTTTTTGTTAAATCAAATAATACGCGAAACATTTCCAACTTAAGAATGATATTCCTGCTCTGGATCTTTAGATGTTCAATAAATGAAAGTGCGCAAAATAATTGAACATTTTTTACTCTTTAGCCGTTGATAAATAACAGTACTACGTCGATTTATCTATTTTATTTTTGATCTTCTTTTTTGTTGTGTTTTAGCTGATAATTAAAATAAGAATTAAAGAAAAAGCCTGACCCCTGTTTTTTCATGAAGCTTGTTTGTTTTTGAATTTCGCGCCAAGCTACACGAGGGCTATTTGCGCTAGCCGTCCCTAGTTTAGCAGTGTAAGACTAGAGGGAGGGCAGCTAGTCATCACCACACACCGCCAACTCTTTGGCTACTATTTTACCAACGAATAGTGGGATTGACCATAACATTATAACGCCCCCACGGCTGAAAGGGTGAGTATGTTTGGTGGGACGGGGATTCGAACACCCTAACCACCTTGCTATGCCGGCCGTTTCATGAAGCGAGTGTGTTTTAAACAAGTGTTTAGCTTAGTAGTATCTACAAACTTTCTCATAAATCCGCTTCAATTATTATCTTCAGAGCTTTGATACAGATGTCGAAATGTTTCATCTAACATGTACATAAACTAGTACTTATTCAGCACTGGTTCATCAATACACATATATTTATAAACTTGTGACTAAAGTTTTTATATGAAATTATTCTAAATAATTTTTCACTTTGTTTTTAAAATATCTTTTGAAACTTGGTGTTTTGAAACTGAACAGCTTCTTATACAACGCAGGGGCTAAACGTCCAGGTAACAAACCCTACGATATTGACACCACTCATGTAATACTACTGACCAGAGAGATTAAAAACTATGTAGCAGTATCTGCTGCCTGCGTGGCATCTTAACAGAAAAGCGGGATTGACTGTAACTTTTATGATGCACAAATACCACACCTGTTTCTTCCACTTCATGAAATATGAAGCCTTTTCAACAGTTTTGTCTATTATTTTTTATCTAATGAAAAATAAAACCATAAATAATTTTGTTTCAACAGCTAAACTACGAAACGTATTTCTTCCACCTGACAAATTATGAAACTTTATTAAAAATCGTTTCTTTCATTTTAAGTAATGTATACAATTTGTTTGTATATTGTTCTCTAAAGTCATATAGTTATAGTGCTACTGTTCTTCTCTATCTGTACTCAGATTGTTTTGCGTATTGCTTTTTGTGGAGTTTATATAAAATAAAAATTCCACAGCGGTGAAGTTGAGCGCTTATAATACTTAAATTCGGAGTTCGATCCCAGTGGTGAGCACAGCTCAAATAGCCCATTGTGAAGCTTTAGGTTTAAACAAAACAAACAAGCAAAACAAAAAAAAAACTAGTAAATAGTGTCTCACATCATGTGCAATATTACAGAATTCGAGGTAAATAAAGTGTTCGAAAGAAAGCAATAACCATTTTTTTTTATTAGAAAACTATTGTAAAAGTTTTTGAGTGGATGATTGTTTCTGCATCTCCTTAAGGGAAGAGCAAGTAGAAAAGTAATGATTGATGTTCAAAGCAGTTTGCTGTGTTAGATGAATGTTGGTGAGGAAATGACACACACACAAACGTAGTTCTAACGTCGAAACTGAATTACCAAGGTTTGGTTTCCGTCTACTTTTTAAATTGTATTTTTATATTTGTTGCAAACTAACTGTAACTTTTTATTGCTGTTGAAACGTGGAGAAAATTATAAGGAATATATATTGGGCTATTAGTAGCGTTTTTATAACAAGAACAACAGGAGAATTATATTACTGCTGTTTAGCGAAGATAACACACAAACATTAATTCGAGCAGTTGTTCGGATTTGTTAGAGGTAAAATAGAGAAGTAATTTGTTATTATTACACTAGTCATTTTTATCACGTGTAATAAGACAACGTGCTTCTAGACCATGAGAGTAAACAACGTGTTTTTATTTTTATTGTTAACACCGGCTAAGTATCTTTTTAGTTCATTTGATATTTTGGGGGTTGCTACGTGTACGTTCATCATATTATAGTAAGAAAATCAACTATACAAGATAGCGCTATAGAAGAGCCCATTCTCAACACAGTTTTAACTTGTTTTACAATAATTATTAATTATATTATTTTTGCTTATAAGTTTTACGTTTTGGGACATATTCAAAAACTGCCTAATGCTTAGCGTGTCATCCGAGGGTGTCATTTTCGGGGGGGGGGGAGGAAGAACAGAAGAAAAAGAAATGCGCTTTGCACTTTGGGATAGTAGGTGCGTTATAGGAGTAACGGTCAAACCCCACTATTCAATTAGGGTAACCCAAGAGTTAATAGCGAGTGCTACTATGTGCCTTACCTCTAGTCTATCAATTCAAAATTAAGAACAGATAAATTTTAGTACAGTTTTGCGCAAATATTCGAAACAAACTATTTCGATATAAAACGTAAGAAGGTGTTGTATCTTCAGCAATCACAGTGAAGTACCTCACTGAGCTATTAAAATGTTTATTTCTCTAAATTTCTTTCTATGTAGAAGTGTTGTTTTTCGTACTAACGAAGCGTCATTCTGAACTGATAGACTATAGAAAGAAGACAACTAGTCAACAGTACCTACCGCCAATTCTTAGGCTACTGTTATCTGATCCAATCGTGGGACTTGACCGTCACTTTTAAAACACATCCACGACACAAAAGTGTGGAGCGCGTTTTTGCAATAATGGACTGAGAACCATGGACACTCGGATTCACAGTCCAATTATTATAAATATAAGCCACACCCGGCCAAGGATTGCATAAAAGAAACACCAATCAATAAATAAAAACATATATTTCTGATGTTAACTTTTATTTTGAGTATTTATACCCACTTTTTGTTTAGGAACTACACACACGTGCAAAAATAATTTAATTTATAATCAAACTTAAAATATATGGTTATTCAAACGTACTTAAAATCTGACCGACATCTTTTATGATAATATTTCCAACTTTCACGAAAAGCAACTATTTTTTAATCTTAGGCTTAACTTTAATGTGAAACGCAACTATTTTTTAATCTTAGGCTTAACTTTAATGTATTCCTTTTTCGGTGTTTTCAGTACCAGATGATAACGTTACAGTTGTATACAGGTTATTCTTAAGCCACATATACTGCAATAGTTACGTAACAACAGCACAAACAAAGTAATCGGAGAAGACAATACGACATCAATATGTTGGTAGTTAATGCTATAAAAGTTCGTTGACGGATTTAACTAAAGTGACAGAGAGAAGAGCTATTCATATTTATTGTAAACTTTATTCAAGTGATTACGAAGATTAGGGTTTACACAAATGTGAACCATAAGTAAAAATACTCGCAAATATTGGTATTACTTCTCTTGGACAGATATATATATCGTAAACAAATCATGTATATATATATATATATATATATGTGTGTGTGTGTGTGTGTGTGTGTGTATACGGTTCTAGAGTATTGTGGTTTCTCTATATGTACACTACGAATATTCTCGAACACAATAACAGATAAGTCACTATCAGTTTTATGAATAAGTAATCAAGATTCAATTTTCTATTTCTATTTCTGCCTCCTCATCTGGAGGTTAAAATAACCACAATTTTTCCTTCCTTTTAAGTTATTCATTCAAGATCAGAAATCCATAACTCGCAGTTGATGTAACACGTGTGTCTACAAATACGTACATGATTGGTAAACGACACGTGGCATCTGTTAGAAAAAAAAAAAGGATCATTTTTAGCTTGACAGTTCTCTTAGCGTGATAGGAAAAAGGTGATAGATATGCTATCCTATAGGTTATTTTTCTAAATCTTCGTATTAGGCAATTGAAGCGTCCTCTGTTATTTAAAAGAGAAACCAGTATCGGTTTTTTTTAATTGTAATATTCAATAACAAAAATCTTTAGTCTGGAACTACTGGGTCGATATAGTGTGAACAATATATATTTTATGCAGATAGATTTTTTCGCGCCGATTTCACAGTGCTATACTGACATGATATACATCATGTTTTAAAAAGAGGGGTTTCGAATAAAGTGCTTTTGTTTGTGTCTTCTAACAGCAAACTCAAGAGTCTACAAGGTCTCTTCAAACAAATCCACAAAGACCGGTAAGTTGTAGTATAAGTCAGACCCTTCTGAGTATATACGAGTCACTTCTTGAGTTAATGATTCCAAACTTGAAACTTTCTGTCTTCTTTTTAATATTTAAAGTATAGTGAAAAGCTCAGCTGATACAACATTTAATGTTCAGTCAGGTGTCGCTTGAGATAGATAAGTAAATCACTTATATGTACTCATAATGGAAAAGAAAAACAAATAAAAAAATGCCATGTTCAGACTTTCACGAGTTCCATGAAAATGGGAAGTTTACACCAAAACTTGTAATTCTCTTTCTAACATTTGAAAGTCAGAAACTTGGTTTTAATGAGATAGTTTATAATCGCTTTCTGCTGAACTGTGAAATCTTCTGAACAGTTACATCCGTTTTTGTTTGTTTTATTTTTCATTTGATGAAATGTGAAATTATGAAGTTTTGTCTGTTGAGTATATGTATCTTAAAGATTCCTTTTTTTTCACCAGAGGTGAAATTGAAAAGAGAATTTGGTGAAAAAGAAAAGAAATTTTTAACATATATATATATACAATCATTAAACAGTTGGTCCACTGTACAATATCTAATAATGAATTCGAAGAAAGGTCATAGCATTATTCTCATACCTAAATTGATTTAGATTACTACATGGTGAATAAAACGGACTCAAAACCCTATAGTTTTTTGTGTTATTTTTATCGGATGAAATATGAAATTCTATAAGTAATTTAACCTGTTTACTTTAACAACTAAATTTCGAAACCTGTTTCTTTCACTTGATGAACTACGAAGTCTTATGGTCAGTTTTGTTTCTTTCATATTATGAACTATGAAGCCTTATGGTCAGTTTTGTTTCTTTCATATTATGAACTAAGAAGCCTCATGGTCAGTTCTGTTTTGTTTTTTTCATATTATGAACTATAAAGCCTTATGATCAGTTTTGTTTCTTTCACCTGATGAATTATGAAACCTTGTAGCCAGTTTTGTTTCTTTATTTTGATGAACTACGAAGCCTTATGGCCAATTTTGTTTCTTTCACCTAATGAATTATGAAGCCTTATGGCCAGTTTTGTTTCTTTATTCTGATGAACTATGAAGCCTTTTGGTCAGTTTTGTTTCTTTCATATTATGAACTATGAAACCTTATGGTCAGTTTTGTTTCTTTCACCTGGTGAATTATGAAACCTTGTGGCCAGTTTTGTTTCTTTCACCTGGTGAATTATGAAACCTTGTGGCCAGTTTTGTTTCTTTCATATTATTAACTATAAAGCTTTATGGTCAATTTTGTTTCTTTCATATTATGAACTACAAAGCCTTATGGCCAGTTTTGTTTCTTTATTCTGATGAACAACTTCAGTTTTGTTTTGTTTTGTTTTTTCATATGATGAACTACAAAGCCATATGGCCAGTTTTGTTTCTTTATTCTGATGAACAACTTCAGTTTTGTTTTGTTTTTTCATATGATGAACTACAAAGCCTTATGGTCAGTTTTGTTTCTTTCACCTGATGAATTATGAAACCTTGTGGCCAGTTTTGTTTCTTTATTCTGATGAACTATGAAGTCTTTTGGTCAATTTTTGTTTCTTTCACCTTATGAACTATTTAGACTTATGGCAAATTTTGTATCGTGTGGAGATTTTTTTTTTTTTACACCTGATGAGCTGTGAAACTTTGCGAACGGTTGTGTTCGTTTTTTTTTAGTCTGATAAATTATGATACCATGTAGAAAGTAATTTCTTCTATCACTTACGCATTTGAAATAATAAAACATCTGAGCACTTTTTTGTTTGTCAATCTATTATTTTAATTGTCTTGTAGGCAATTACTGATTCTAAGTACCACATCTATTTAGCTATGAAACCGTAGAGGGAGAAGCACGTATTCTGTTTATGAAGCTATCTAGTTCGTCAAGTGTTCTGTTTATGGAACTATCTAGTCAGTCACTTGTTCTGTTTATGGAACTATCTAGTCAGTCACGTGTCCTTTTTATGGAACTGTCTAGTCAGTCACTTGGTCTGTTTATGGAACTATCTAGTCAGTCACTTGTTCTGTTTATGAAGCTGTCTAATTAGTCACGTATTTTGTTTTGAAAATAATTAGTCATATGTTCTGTTTATGGAACTGTCTAATCAGTGACATTTTCTGTTTTTGAAACTAATCTCGGTCTGCTCGTTTCGTTTGCGTAATTATAGACCGTATGTACGTATGTATGTATATATATGTGTGTGTGTGTGTACATATGTGTGCCTGTGTGTGTATTATATTTTTGTCTGCTGAGCTCTGACAAAACCATTTACTTCATATTTTAAGTTTTTATTTTTAGACCCTGTACTTGACATAACCATTGTCTTCATTTCATATTTATCATCTTTTCTGCTAAAAGAAGTGTTAGGTTCAGTGTTTTTCGTGTTCTGTTAACTTTTTTTTATATCTGTAATTATATTATCCATTTGTTTGTTCTTTTTTATTATTTGTAACCATGTCATCCATGTTTTGGCCTATTTCATTTGTACTAACTTATTTTTTTAAAATTTCCTACCATCAATACTATAGAACTACCTTGTCAAGATCCTCAATTGTTACTTTCACTCAGTATCGGAAGTAACCTTGATGGCTTATAACACTAAAATTCAGAGTTCAATCCCTATGTCAAGTACAGCGTAGATAACCCACTGTGCATCTTCGCATAAGCCAAAAACAAATCATCTAGTTATTGAATTAAAACTATCCTTTAATGTTTCTCTTATCTTTAAAAAACCGTTTAGGCTATAGATAAATTTTCTATAAAAACTTGGTAAATAGTTTTTGAATCGTAATCCTTTGTTCTTGTCCCGAAATGCACTTTCATTTTTAAAACTTAAATACTTTTTACTGTATCATCTGATTCTTTAATTTATATTTATAGTTCATTTAAGAAGGCTCTGAAATGTTTTAAGTGTTAAATTGTTATAGGTAAACATACATTATTATTTTTATGTGTATGTGAATTTTTGTTCCGACTAACGAACTTGACTTCCGTCGGAAGTAGTTGAAAAAGTCCAGTTCAAAGTAATAATAACTCTTGTATATATAACTCAGTTCAGATGAGAGTACTTAGTATTAACTATATTTATCTATCGTGATGTTTAACTGGCCTTTATATTTAAACATTTTTTGAATGATTAATAATGATTAAAAGAAACTTCCTGTTCGTAGGAAAGCCCTGATGTCAGGAGTTTCAGCGGCATTCCAAGTCCAAGGTCAGTCAGATGTAATTCTTCTTTAAAAGCTTCCATAAAAAAAAGACTATTATGGCATTGTATATAATTAACATTTTAATATAGCTTTGGCGTTCTACGCTGCAACATTGAGTTTCTCTATATACATAAAATAGAATTTCAGATATGATAAAGAAGTGAAGGCCTACTGCACAGTGAACTTGTGACTGATTAAATATAGATCTCAAATACTGTTGTTGTTTTTTCACATTTCTGGGTTCAAATCCGTAATGTGGTAAAAACATCAATAAAAACAACTGGAATAGAGCTCATTGTTCATTCACATATGTTAAAGTTAATGAGTTGCCTATTTTCCATAACTTACCTACTAACACGTTATCAATTCGAATTAAAATACTTTTAGTAAATTTTAAGAAAGTTTGGTTGGCCCGGGATGGCCAGGTGGTTAAGGCGCTCGACTGGCAATCTGAGGGTCGCGGGTGTTCAAATCCACATCTCACCAAATATGGCTCGCCCTTTCAGCCGTGGGGGCGTTATAATGTAACGGTCAATCCAACTATTCGTCGATAAAAAGAGTAGCCCAAGCGTTGGCGGTGGGTGGTGATGACTAGCTGCCTTCCCTCTAGTCTTACACTGCGAAATTAGGGATTAGATAGCCTTCGTGTAGCTTTGTGCGAAATTCAAAAAAGCTAAAAGAAAGTTTGGACAATTATGTTAGATACTTATAACAATTTTATTAATGATGGAAGTAGTACTATTTAAAAGTATATCGTAGTTTATTTTTGTTACAGACTAATGATATATATTCCTATTGAATAATTAATATCGTATTATTATTATTAAGTATTTAGGATAGAAGTAGAAGCACGTCCAAGTTAATACGCACTAATACACAAGTAAAAGCGAAAAGTGGAGAATGGGTGTAAGGCGTTTGTTACTGCGTTAAACGCCCAAAGATGGCGAAACAATGGAACCAACAAACCATGAAATATTAACTTCGAGATTTACGTTGTCTTCAGTAAACTTCGGTTCTCTAAGCAGAATGACACTTCATTTGTAGTTTGTTTGTTTCTACACATCTCAAAAATGGTTTAATTTATAGCATCACACATAGGATAACACGATTTCGATACCTAGAATATATTTTTATATAGTTTTAGCTGCTTTAATATATTTTAGTCCAAAACAGGCCCGGCGACAGGAGGGGGCAAAGAGGGCAACTGCCCAGGGACGCGAGCGAATGAAACCTGGTTATGCCGTAAAGCCTGCAAAGCATCTTTAGGCTATATCTTCATTTAATGATAAAAAACATCATAGTTTTGGCTTTTATTTGCATATAGACGCTTGATACATTAAGAATGACTGAAATAATAATTTGAGTAATA